AAATGGTGCTGGTCAAAGGTTCAGCTAAAAGAATAATCGTTATTTATTTATTTAAAACAGGCCGCCCAACTCCAAACAATTCTGGGAAGTTTTCTGTATAGAAAATTATAAGAAAGACTGAAAAAGAAATGGATCATAAATATCCCGAAGGCAAGCTCCCTTTTACCAACAACTAACCAAATTGTGTGTATTTATTTATTTAATTTACAACTCATAGTTACACAGCCATCCATTTTATAGAATGTGACTTTGGGCTGCATACAATAATATCCATACACTCATACCTACAACTGGATTTGTGTTTTGTATTGAGTCATTTCTTGGTTTTGATTTAGCATGAACTCCACCGCTGTGATTCGTAAAGCATGATTTAGTGTGCTGTGTAAATGCAAACCATTGTGACTTCTTTAGCAAACTGTTTGTTAGCCTGTTGTGTAAACCCCTGCTTATTTAGGACGGAGTCAGTACAGTGGTGAGATTCAAAAAAAATTACTAAAAATTGGTGGGCGTGGCTTAGTAGACATGGCAGGGGAAGAATACTGTAAAATCTCAATTCCAACCCCACTCCTGAGGGAAGGTTACTGCAAAATCCCATTCCCTCCCCACCCCACTAACCTGCTTTCCAGCTCTGTTCTCCTGTGCAGGACAACCAAAGAAGACCCAGCCAATCAACTGGGACTCGGGAGGCAGAGAATAGATGGGGGTGGGGCCAGTCAGAATTACTCAGCGAACTACTCAAAATTTCTACTACCGGTTCTCCAGAACTGGTCAGAACCTGCTGAATGCCACCTCTGAGTCAGTAGTATCTTTGCTAGCATCACCCAAAATGGCACTGAAGAAGAAAGTTCAAGGTTTTGTTCCTTCAAAATTGAAGGTGAAGAAGATGAAAAAAAAAAAGTAAGTCTAAAAATCGAATTGTATCTCCTGCCAGACTTTCTCTCGCTTGGAGCTTAATCTAACTTTTTCCAGGAAAAAGGGAACTATTTAAAAAAAGCACCAAGTGATTTAATAGGGAGATTAGTCTCTCTCCACCCATGTTCCAATGATTCCCCCTGTTCCATCCACCCACAACAACAGGGCTGCCTCTCCTTATATTAATAGCCACTAACTGGCTCCAAATTTGTTTGGTTTTTTTTTTTTTTTTACCCCACACTGGTTAACTCGGTGAAACTGTGCAGTTTGTTCCTGCATCAACACGCCTTGGAAGGAAGCCAGTAATTTTCATACCTGCCTCCTTTTTTTTATCACTTCTTGGTAAACACAGCCAGGAACAAAAAGTCAAGGTCAGGAGAAGCAGCAGGCAAGACGCGGAGGCAGGAGCCTGCTGGAGGTCAGGTTGTGGTCACTGCATCTTTTGGCAGGTGGGAGGGAAGGGCTGCTCCTCCCTTGGCAGAAAATGCCAAAATCCTGTCTAGGTAACTAAGATGCAAGCTCTAAACTGGCATACAAACATCCCGTTGATTTTCCTATTCAGCGGCTGCCATTCCAGCAGGATCCAACTCCTTAGTTGAGGCACAAGCTTGGAAGACATCCTGGGAACCTACTAGGAATGTGCAGCATGCGGGTATTATTGCACGCATTGTGACAGCTCTCATGAACCCATTGTAGCTGAGCTAAAATAAGTGAGCTGTTAGCTGTGAGACAAGTTAGGAGAAGGGGACATGTCAGAATTTGGACTATTTATGAGAGATGGGGACCGTCTCCTCAACTGCTAGAATAGGTTCTGATATTGATGTTTGTTTGATTGAGTGATTCAACTTGTATAGCCACTCATCCAATGGTGGGATTCAATACCGGTTCTGTGGGTGTAGCTTGGTGGGCATGGCATGACTTGGTGGGTGTGGCTTGGTAGTTGTGGCAGGGGAAGGATACTGTAAAATCTCCATTCCCTCCCCACCCCACTAACCTGCTTTCGAGTTCTGTTCTCCTGGGCAGGGCAACCAAAGAAGGCCCAGCCGATCAGCTGGGACTCGATGGGAGGCAGAAAATAGATGGGGTTGGCGGGGCCAGTCAGAGGTGGTATTTGCCAGTTCTCTGAACTACTTAAAATTTCCTCTACTAGTTCTCCAGAACTGGTCGGAACCTACTGAATGTCATCTCTGCACTCATCTTAAATCCATGACTGTGGGTGGCGAACAATCATCAAAACAGTTAAAACAGGACACACAAAGAAACAGCAGTCAAGATTACAAGTATTGTAATCTGTCAGTTTCATTGTATCTAGAAAGCTGGGCTTTTCATACAATTGGGCTCCCAGGTCTGGTCACATAGCCAGGACCTTCTGAAAGACCAGCAGAATCTGGGTCATCCTAATCTCAGGAGGGAGGGACAAGCATTATGGCCTGGTCCTTGCCAGCTGACATTCCTTGATTGATGGGAACCAGATGCCCATCGGACTGGACCAGATTAGGCCAGTAGAAAGGACTGGAAAAAGATGGTCCCTCAGATAACCTGGTCTCCAGGCATGAAGGCATCTTACAAGATGGGCCTTGTTTGGAGAAAAGCAGGTCTCCAAGGAACTTCAGAGAACCTCTTCACTTGGATATCTGATGACACAAGGAACCCTTTTTGAAGATAAGCATAGCCATCCTGAACCACGGTGGTGCAGTGGTTAGAATGCAGTACTGCAGAGCTCACTGCTCATTCCAGGAGTTCGATCCTGAGTGGTTCCAGGTTGACTCAGTTTTCCATCCTTCCAAAGTCGGTAAAATGAGGACTCAGATTGTTGGGGGGCAATATGCTGACTTTGTAAACCACTTAGAGAGGGCCGTAAAGCACTGTGAAGCAGTGTATAAGTCTAAGTGCTATTGCTATTGCTATCCTGTCTTTCAGGCTTCTAATGAAGACATAACTTTACCAAGGCCTTTCTTGTGTGAATGTTTTTTTTTTCCTTTCTGCCTACCAGTTTAGAGCACATGTTTGAATACTAACTCTTTCTAATTTATCGCAGTGTTATTCTTGGATTTTAATAATAACTTTTTGCCTTTACTTCACCAGTTTCATTTCAGGGAAGGAGAGTAAAATACATGCTAAATAAATAAACAGTGAAACAGCTCTAACCTGAATGTGGTTTCCTCATTTCTAATTTGTTCCTGGGGACAACATTTCATTTATGGGTTTCATTTCTAGGATACTTATATGTTTTTCTCCCTGTTCCTCTGTCATCTTAGGTAGTGGACCTATTCAGTTATGGCAATTCTTGCTGGAACTTCTGACAGACAAATCCTGCCAGTCATTCATTAGCTGGACAGGTGATGGCTGGGAATTTAAACTTTCTGATCCTGATGAGGTAAGAATGGGTCTAATTTGGACTGTACACATGAAAGCCCTAAGTCAAATTCATATATAGCAATCGTTTTGCCAGTAGTTATAAATACATTTATATTTTATCCTCTCAAAGTTTACATCATACAGTGGTACCTCGGTACTCAGTGTAATTGGTTCTGGTGGGTAATAAAAAGGAAGAGTATCAAACAAACCATGTGATTTACCACATGATCCTTTGTTTCAGCCTGGAAAAACTTTTTTCCTGTTCTTTTTCCTACATCAATGGCCTTTCCATCATGGCCGACTTCCTATCCGCCCTCTGTGGCTATCCCACTCCTTTTGTAGCGACCTTCCCAGCATGTCTAGTTTCCTGTCTGTTTCCCACACCTTTCCTCCTCTTCCTATAGCAACATGTTGAGTATTAAACAAAGTCCAAGTACTGGGTCAACATTTTCCTGTCCAAATGTATTGAATACCAAATTTGAGAAATTTGAAGCAATCAAGTACTGAGATACCACTGTAATTTCTTTCTTCCATAAGCTATCATTTCTAATCATCAAACCGATAAATCACAAATGCATTTTGCCCCCTTTTTCAGCAAAAAGCCCATACAGGGTTTCCAGTATTTAATAAATGCAATCATTGAACTTTCTCTATGCAATCAAGTTAATTTTGCCACCTCTATTGGTTCCATCTTCACCAATCCTTCCTCCATTGTGGGTATATAAGAGTTTTACCATTTTTATGCTAATAGTCTCATCACAGGGATCATATATAAAAATAATCACCTATGGCTCTTTTCTAGTTATCCATTAATCCCAATAAGCAAATTCCTGCTTTGAACTAACTCTTAGGCTTTGAAATTTATTATATCAGTGTATGTATTTGAACCCAAAATGTCCTGCTGTGTGTACAAGTGTGCCCAGTCTATGAAAATGGCAGTTTGTGTCACCCACATTTCCAAAATAAACTTGAAATACTCTTACACTCTGGATAATTTTTCTGTTCTTCTTAATTTTTATTAAGGAATTTCCATAGGAGATGACCAGGCTGAGCCTGAGGGAGGGGTGAAATGCAACATCAGTCATGAATCCCTTCATGCTCAAAAGAAAAAATATAACTCCAATCTACTTTGAATTCATTTTTATTCTTAACTTCTGCTCAAATTCCATTGATGGCTAGTAGTTCAGATTCCTATAGAGAGCTTAAACATGCAATAATTTTAATACTCCTGATTTCCATAGCACTTGACAATTTCATGAACTAAATTTTATGGGTTCCCATTCTTCAGGTGGCAAGGAGATGGGGCAAGAGGAAAAACAAGCCAAAAATGAACTATGAGAAGCTGAGCCGCGGATTGCGTTACTACTATGACAAGAACATCATCCACAAGACTGCAGGAAAACGCTACGTGTATCGTTTCGTATGCGATCTGCAAAGTTTGTTGGGTTACACTCCAGAAGAGCTCCATGCCATGTTGGATGTGAAGCCAGATGCTGATGAGTGAATGGATCCATTTTTACCAAAATCGAACAATCTGCAGAACATAAGGACTTTTATTTCTTTCTTAACCCCCAACCATTATTTTCCTTAAGAAAAAAGAAAAAAAGAAAAGAAAGAAAAAAAGCGTAATTTTTCATTGGCTGTACTTAAGAAGGGCTAGGATTTTAAGCTTTTGAATGAAACTGTGACATAGGTTGGCTGGGAGGAGGAAGAACCAAGTTTCCAAGTCACATCTTCTTGGAGTTGTATTTGCAGCTGGGATTTTAGAAGTCAGGAAATGTGACGTTTTGTTACATCTACTTAATGAATTCATATTAATGCCCCTTTCTTCCTGGTTTTAAAAACTGACAATCGGTGTGTTTGTAAGACAATGCTGTCTTTAACTGATGGAGAGCAGTCTTAAGTGGCAAACCATCCTGTTTTAGAAGGAAAATATATCTGAATAATCAAGTACTGTGATCTCAGATAATTTTTGCATTTCATAAGACAGGTCTCTGTTCTTCTGTTTGTCAGGGTGGGTGGGGGGAACCAAAAAACCCACCTCTTTTTTTTTTTGTTTAAAGAAAATGTTTAAAAGAATTTGTATTTTATTAAATTTTGTGCCAGTATTTTTTAAAATAGTCTTAAGCTCTAAAATGGTTTCAGTATTGCAAAAAAAATCATGTGTTTGTTTGTTTTGCCAGCTGCGGATTTTTATCGCCATTGAGAGAAAATGAAATACGTCTACATAGAACTTCACTAGAAATGAGCAGATGGAATAGACCAGTAGAAAACCAAGATACAAGTGTAGGCTAAGAATGGGGAACTCTAGATGAATGGATGTTTTGCTTGAATGCTAGACTTCCTGCACTTTATTCTCTTATGTCAATACATCTGTGCCTCTGCTTGTGCATTTTCAATTGTGTCAGTTTCATACTGAGATTTTATTTAGATTTGTGTCTGCATGTTATGAGTACATGCTTATCTAGGATACTTTAGAGAACAGTCTTATCTCACTGATCAGATAGCATCTTTTCAGACTAATAGATTTTATTCGAAGGTTTATGCTTTTTATTGTCTCCATCTATTCTAGAAGGATGCTACCCACTCTGTCTGATTTTTGGCTACCATAAACCAACATTGCTCTCTTTCTTCAACTATTCCATTGTTTGAAAAGTAGGGTGGTTGATTGATTCTCTTGTGGGAACAATTCAATTGTCCATCTGTTAGGGCTTGTTTCTGCTTCTTTTCACAGGTATCAGTTGCTATGAATGTTTCATTAGTGCCTTGCAATAGGACCAAATCACTGAATCGGTTTTCGGATTGAGCTGGAAAACCCCATCCAGCTTCATTTTCTGAATCAAGCTGAATCACTGAATTGGATCAGATTTAGCATTAGAATCAGACTGGAGTCAATCATATTCTGTAACAATCTGCAACGGAGTATTTTATAAGAAAAGATTCAGTAATCTCTGGGTATTCAGAAGCTCTTTTGAGATAATACAAGCACATCAAAATATATGGGCTTCTCATCAATATGTCTACACTCTTAAGGATGAGCATTAAGAGTAGGCATGGAAGAAGTTAGGGGTCTTATCTAATTTGGCAGATACTTTTATTTTTATCGAATGGGTTTAAAATAAATCTGGGCCACTGAGCAAGTTATAATATAGATGCTAATTTTCTTCATGCTATGTTGTCCAAAAATAAACAGGATTGGTGTTTTGACTCTACAGTTCCATCATCCTGATTTGGATACAAGGAAAGAATGCCAAAGCTGATTGTTATCCCCTCAAATACCTGATATCTACTATCTCAAAAAAGAAAAACAACCCATATTTTAAAACACATCTTTAAAATATTTGAAAAGACACGATTAATAGATGATCTTTTCCTGCTAGCTTTTGCTGTTTGTTTGTTTTAAAATATCTTTCAAGAGGAGGGAAGGTTGAAGTTCAACGGATTAATCTTTTTTTCTTTCTTCACTGTGTATTAGAATATATTTTATGGTGGAAGGGGTGTAGAATATTAAGATATTCTATGAATTTGTATACCCTCTTTCTGCCCTGCCTTGAATCATCTGCTGATTAAAAAAATATAACTCTATTTGTAAAGCAATTGAACAGACTTTACGAAGACTGAAATCAAGGGGAAAGAACCTTATTTTTCTAGAGGTCTGGACCCTAAGACTTCCCTTCCCTGAATACAGCCAGGCCTACATTTGTAAATGTGCTTTGTGAGACCAATGGTTTGTCAGCCTCATGACTTTTAGGTCAGTATTTAATCATTTGTGTTGTACACCGATGAAATATAATGCATGAAATACTCTTCAAAGAACAAACATGGAGAGCCAGCATTTGCAAAGCGGAGAACAGTAATATGATCTTCACTCCCTCCCACCCACCCCCGCAAAAAAACCCAAACTGTAATAGCAATGACTCATTTCAGTCATGCAAAGTTGAAAATGGGACAACTTTGAGTTGCTTGAAATGTCAGCAGAATTTGACATAGAGCAGGTCTGAGACCCTGCTATGTAACCTGTAGGGTAAAGGTGCAAAAAGTAGGAAGGAATAATGTTGTCACCATAGTTAAGAAAAACAAACAAATCCACTATATTTTAGGAGGACCCATTCCTCTAATTTAATTGTCCTTGATAGACCAGATTTGATCTGTTTTTGAAAGGCATTGCTACCTGATACAATAAAAAGGTAGTCTGTTTTGAGTTTAATTCGCGTCTCAAAAGAGTTCATGAACAAATTCATATCATTTATCTTGGCAACAATATGAAAGTGGTTTGCTTTTTTCCCCTGGATATGTATGCTTGTGTGGGTGTTTTCAGCTTTTCAGACCAGCTTACAGCTCTGGCTGTTCCAAAAGTTCTCCCATCAAAGTACTGGATGGATCTGACTCTATTTAGCTTTTTCATAATCAGTTAAGAGCAGTTAGATCCCTTTCAGATAAAGCTTTGTAGCAGTGAAGCACAACCTGGGTGCCTAGTATCACAGTTTGTCCCCCAAACCTTGAGCTTTGCTAGCTGAGGAATTCTGGGAGTTGAAGTCCACAAGTCTTCAATTTGCCAAGGTTGGAGACCGCTGCCTTAGAGCATTTCCAAAGTTGTGACTAAATTTTTTTAATGGTTAATATGACAGAAAGGGTTGAACAAAATGTGACAGAAAGGGTCAAACAAAAGAGCCATTGTCTGAAAAGTATTTAATTTTATTTTAATTAAAATTCCACATGAAATCAATTTTAGTTTTTCTACTGATCCTATCTGATTCTTGATGCTGGTACTATCGTCTTCTTAGAATGGGCTCCTTGCACACAATTTAACAGAATAACAGTGTTGGAAGGGACCTTGGAGGTCTTCTAGTCCCTCCCCCTGCTTAAGCAGGAAACCTTATGCCATTTCAGACAAATGGTTGTCCAATCTCTCCTTCAAAACTTCTGATGTTGAAGCATCCACAACTTCTGGAGGCAAGTTGTTTCACTGATTAATTGTCCTCACTGTTAGGAAGTTTCTCCTTAGTTTCAGGGTTGCTTCTGTCCTTGATTAGTTTCCATCCGTTGCTTCTTGTCCTGCTTTCAGGTGCTTTGGAGAATAGCTTAGAGAATAGATTTTTATGGTAAGTATAGAACAGAATATAGAATAGAGTTGGAAAGAATCTTCTAGTCCAGCCCCCTGTTCAAACAGGAGACACTATACCATTTTACACAAGTGGCTGTTCAGCTTCTTCTTAAAAGTCTCCAATGATGAAGCACCCACAACTTCTGAAGTAGTCCAACTGGTTAATTGTTCTTCACTGTTAGAAGTTTCTCCTTAATTCCAGGTTGCATCTCTCCTTGATTAGTTTCCATCCATTGCTTCTTGTTCATCCTTCAGGTGTTTTGGAGAATAGACTCTCTTTTGGGGGGAAGCCCTTTCTAACTTGCCACAAACAACAAGTGTGTCCTTCAGTCTGGAACAGGTTGTGAATCTCTGAACTATAGAATGGGGAAGTGAAACCTGTAGACAAGCTACACTTCCAACTTCATCCCAAGGAGCCACGTTCCTTAGTCATGCTGACAGTTGTAATTCAATCCATGTGGAGGGTCGCAGATTTTCTATCGCAGATAAATGCTTTCTGGTACAGGTGGTCCTTGACTTATAACCATTTATTTAGCAACCGTTTGAAGTTACAACAGCACTGAAAATGTGGCCCATGACTGATCCTCTTACTTATGGCCATTGCAGCATCCACAAGGTCATGATTAAACTTCAAGCACTTGACTATTTACAATAGTTAAAGCATCCCAGTGTCATGTGATCAACATTGGCAACTTTCCCAGCTGGCTTCCAAGAAGCAGAGTCAATGGGGAAAGCTGGATTTGCTTCATGGCCATGTGTTTCATTTAACAACTGGAGTGATTTATTTAATAACCATTGCAAAAATTTCCTCACATTGGATGCAGCTCACTTAACATTGCCTTGCATCGATCCCAATTATGGCTGTAAGTCTAGGACTACCTGTCTAGAGCTGGGAATAGACTTTGATGCAGGGAAGATTCATGCAAAATATCATTTCAGAGTTGATTCCTGCAACAGCATATTTCACCTTTTCATAGAAGTCAAATGAAAGCACAATGAGTAATTTATCTGCTTTGAACTCTTCATTGGTGACAGGAAGGGCATCCAGCCAGTAAACACTCAGCTTCATTCAGTTTCCCCAACTCTACCCCAATGGAAGGGATTACAGGGTCATTAAATAACAAAAAAAAGTCAAATGAAATAGATACATTGCTTCTTTTGGCAAATGATTTGAGTCCTTGAAAAAAATTCTACCAGCTGGAAGAGGCTTCTGGACTTATGTTACTGAGGTGTAGAAACCTCTTCTACTGGCCAAAAGGTTCAAAACAACCCAAAATACCCCCCCCCCAAAAAAAGGATTACCTCCAAGCTTAGAGACATGTATGGCCTCCAGGACACAAAGAACCTTGCTCAAACAAAGCACAACTGCCCTGCACTACACAGGCTTACTTTCTGATATGATTTTATATTAAGCAGGCAATCATAAAGTGAGGCTGTTTGAAGCCATGAATGTACCGTAAAGGCTTTTGCAGTCCTCAAGGACTGTCACTCATCAATGTTTCTGAATGTATTTTCACTCCCTCTCAAAGACTTACCAGTAGAGAGGACATGACGTGGAGTTAGGAAGATTAGAAGTGATAGACTTGCTTGCTTTTCTTGATCCCTTTTCGCTAAGGCTCAGTTCACTTTTATAGCCTGGCATAAGGTCTGTCTGGGCTGCCTCTTCTATTAGGCCTCTAACTGCATGTTACAGAATTGCTAAAGGTGTTGAGAATATTGTCAACTATCAATAGCTCTGCAAATGCTCGAAACAAATAAAAAACAAAAAAACAAAATCCTGATAATTCCACCATTCTCGGTCTTCTGGTATAGAATAGATTACTTCAAGTATCCAAAGTCTGTGTAGATAGCTAGGTTGTGAGCAGTGGATAACATCCATAAACTTAGTACTGGCTGAAAATTCTTGGTACGGTTTGAAGGAAGATAAGCTTGGAATTTCTTGGGAAGATATGGAAAGAAGATTTTGAGCCAGGAACACTGATAGTGGTTATTCTTGCAATGAAAGAAATGAAATCAGGACCAAGGGCTCAGTTGGATTTGATTCCAATGAAGTGAAAGGAGGAAATGAGTAGAAAATGAGAAAGAAGGATTAGTGGATGTGGAAAAGAATGGCATTCCTAAAACCTGACATCTTTTATTTCCTTGTTGTCTTTTCTATGGTATTTGGGGGATTTAGCCCTAAACCAAGAGATGAAGTCTAGACTCTAAAATGCTAGTGGGTATGTATAGAAAACAACTTGCATTGTAAGTGAAGTCACTATCACAGAGTTATCATTGTCACCCTCTGAAAATGGACAGTTAATATGAGACATTTGACTGTTTTGGGGTAATTCCATTGTTTTTGTTTTTGTTTTTGAAATTAGATTTAAAACGGCAAATTCATTTGACATGCTATTCAAATGGCTGTAACCTTTGAATTATTCATTTAAAAAAATCATGTAATGGAAGCAATCTTTTCCAGGCCAAGCGACACAGATATACTGAAATTTTAAGTTTCAGAATTCCATTAACTGTCCATGTTAGTTGCAGTTCCATTAATTAAGGTTCCAGCATCATACATGAATTCAATTGTTTTAGAAAATGTAACAACTAGAGTTGAATTGTTAAGTTTATTTCAGAGTTCTCAATGCATTACGCAAAAAACTGGATACTAACAACAAATATCTTGAAGCAATATTAATGGCAGCCAAATATACAATGGTCAAGATTTTTTCTGGGGATATGTTCCCATTTTTTTCAGTCAGGTATTTGTAAGGAAAAATGAAACAAAAGTCTTAGTGATACTTCTTAGTATTCCTACAATATAATCCTTTGCTTGTTGATTCAGGAGCAAACCCTGGCGACTTCAAAGGAAATTTGGCCAGGGTAAATGTATATAATACTGAAGTTTTAGGACATTAATTCAGAGTAGCTTTCTCCAAGTTATGTCTTCCATTTGTGGAGAAATCTATAGGGGTTTAACATATTTGATGAGGAAGGCTGGTTTAGATCAACTGAAGATAGGACTATTTTTATACTGTTGGTTTATACCTTTTTGGATTAAGCATCAGCAAGCAGAGCATCTCTATTCAAGTATATTTGGGGAAATCTTATGGTTTAGAATTTGTTGATTTTTAACCTTCTGATAGCCCTGCTTTATATTCTATCAAACTCTACACATTCATTAAAGATTAAAAAATAGACTTGTACTTTTTTATTTAATCATTTGTCTAGTAACTGTGATGGAGAGGTTAACAGGAAAGTCAGTGGCTGTTAATTAGAGCTGAGTCATCATTCCTTAGTAGACGGCACAAAATATAACAGAAAGTTGAGCATTTCCAGTTAAAAGGTCTCAAATGGCAGACTTGGAGATGGTATTTGTCCACTGAGATCTGCCTACATGGGTTGTCTTTTAGAAGCAGCAAGGATTTATGTAGTCATTGGTATAATTTAGATTTGAGTAACTTCATATAGATAAAAAACAGCTCCAAGCCAATTTGGATTGTGTAGCTCACAAACAACTTCACTGTGTTACCTTGTTTGCAAAGCTAGTTTTTCCATTGGCTTCTGGGCTTTATGGTTTGGAGCTATTGATTCTTCAAGCATCCATTTTGAACGGCCTTTCCTCAACTCTTGGTTCATGTTGCTTGGTCTACTTAGTGTTGACTGGAAGAAATTTTGCACCTACAACTTTCTGGCAATCTTCCCAACATTTTGAATCTGATTCAAAATCTGATTCAGTCTGTCCAGTGTTCACAGCAGATATATTCTCAGGGATCTTGAAAGGGCAATGCATTACAGCCCTGGTGGTATTCTTCCCTTATCAGTGTTTGTACCTAACTTTCTGCCATCTACCTTTCAATTGCAGTGACAGGCAGGCAGTATCATTTCTTTTGAAAGTGTGTGTTCTCCTTGCACTAGCAGAAATACTTTACTCAGCTCTGTGAACTAGATAAGGAAGGAAGGTGTCGAGTTAATGGTTATTGACAATTGAAAGCTCTTGTCAAAAGGGGTTCAGGCCTCATTTACACATTACATGTTTGGCTTACTTTAAAAACAACAACAACAACAACAAACAAGGGTGTCTGCTTCACCAGAGAATGTGTGAAACAGTTGTACAAAAAGCCAATTCAGCATAGATTACAGTTAACTGCAGAACTGACAGCTGATTTTTTCAGTTATGTTTCTGATGGGGTCTCTATAGATGGAATGAACTAGTGTTGCCATTCCAAAGATGTTTAAGGTAAATGATGCTTGATGTATGCATATCTATTATGACAGAAATATCTCCAGGAATTAACTGCCTCAGTGAACATTTTTTTAAAAAAACAAAAATATTGTGTTCCTTTTTTTGTCTCTGTTTTATAACTGTTTTTTTTAAGCTGATAAGTTTAGGAAAAGAAGAAAAGATTGTTATATTATGCTCTTCAACTATTTTCCAACTTGTATTTTCATATAATTTATATTTTATAGAAGTGAAAAAAATGCCTTAAAAGCAAAATGTTTTTGTTTTTTGTTTTGTTTATAAAGGAGAAAAAGCAGGTGCTTTTTAGGAGGAAAAAAAAAAGAAATGGAAGAAAACCAAACTCAGCTGAGGTAGCTTAGAGATGTAGCGTTATCTGTGTTTTTAAGAAATTCAAAATCGCAACCCCTCCCACACTGAAGACTTAACAGGGAGTGGAAGAGATTTTGTTTTGATTGCTGATGCTGGCACATCATTCTGGAGAGTTTTTATATACTGTAGCCTTATTTCTGATTGTATTCAAAATTAAAATATTGCAAAGACATGCCTTGTTTACTTTTGCCTATTTATGCATTTATTTATGTCCTGCCTTTATTATGTTCATACATAACTCAAGACAGTGAACTTATCCAATGCACTATCCTTCTATT